TGGACGAAGTAACCCCAACTCAGCTCGTACCACAAAATAAACCTAAATGAAATAGAGGCCCATTGGTAGTTGATATGATCCCCCCTTATAACTTCGCAGAAGACCTTCTAAATCAACAAGCTAAGGTCACCTACAGTCAAATGCTCCAAATTGCTAAGCAAAGGAGAAACCTTGCACAAGCCTTGCATAGACCACTTGTTCCTCAAGAGCAGAAGACTAACTTTGTGGACTCAAAATTATATAATAAGACTACTGTGGCTAAATATTATGTAAAAATAAAAGAAAACCTGGTATTGGCAGTTTTAGATTCCAGGGCCATAGTCAGCATAATGACAAAAAAATTGATAGATAAACTTGGTCTAGTTATCAACAAACTATCGACCACTGTTGTTATTACTGCGAATAGAAACTGGGAAAGGTCTTTGGGACAACTGAGTGATCAGAAATTAGTAATAGGAGGAGTTATGGTCCCAACTAATCTACAGATAATAGAATCCTCAGAAGAGACTCTACTCCTAGGAATAGACTAGTTTAAGAAAGTATGAGCTCAGATCCATTTTGACGAAAGGAAACTCTTCATAAGGTATCTCAGAAAACAGGTTGAAATTCCCATATACCAGTTACAAGGTTATAAATTAGAAATTCTGTCCGAATCTAATATCAACTATAATGAGGATGATAATAGTGATTATTTCGATAAATATGAAGAAGAGGAGTTGGAAGAGTTAGAAGGATTTATTGCCGAAGAAATAACACCCAAAGAAATAGAATTATATATTAACTCCTGGAAAGATACTTACAGTTTCGCTATCTATTTGACTGCAATCAAAGAAATCTCCACTCCTGAAAAAGATACTAAAAGAGAAGTAATCAAAGAAAATAATATTAAAAGATTAGTACAAGTAGATATACTAAACGAAGAACAAAAGAAAGAAGTAAACCGTGTGCTAGAAAGATTCGACAAATTATTTGTGACTGAGTTAAGTCAATTAGGCCAAACTAAGGATGTTTAACACAAAATATACACTGGAGAAGCAAGGCTGATTAAGCAAAATGCTTACAGGTTATCGCTGGATGAACAAGAATTTCTAAAAAAAGAAATTAGAAAAATGTTAGAGAACGATTTGATTGAAGAAATAAAAAGCTCGTGAACCTCACCTGTAGTTATTGTACCCAAGAAAAACAGTAAATTACGCCTCTGTGTTGACTACTGGAAGCTCAACTCTGTTACAAAAAAGGATTCCTATCCATTACCTCGAATTGACGACCTATTGGAAACCTTTGGAAAAGCCAGCTAGTTTTCAAGTTTAGATCTAGCCTGCGGCTACTGGCAAATACTAGTAAAAAAAGATGACCAAGAAAAGATGGCATTTATAACCAAACAAGAGGTCTATGCCTTTAAAGTAATGCCCTTCGGGTTATGCAATGCCCCAGCCATGTTTCAGAGGACTATAAATCATACTCTATATGAATATATTGGCAAATTTGTTGCTGTATACATAAATGATATTATCATCTATTCCAAGACTTATCTTGAACACCTAGATCATCTTTAAAAGGTTTTCAATAAGATCAAATCAGCTAGACTAAAATTAAACCCTAAGAAGTATGAACTTTTTAAAAGTAACCTTCAGTTTTTAGGTCACATAGTGGGTAGAAATGGTATCAGACCTGATTCAGAAAAAGTCACTAAGGTTCAGGAATTCCCCACTCTGAATAACATTAGACAGCTTCGTGAGTTTATAGGACTTGCGTCTTATTATTCAAATTTATAAAAGGTTTCGCTACAATAGCAAAACTGTTATATAAGCTGTTAGAAAAAGAGGTAAAGTATAAATGAAGATCCAGTTAACAGCAGGCATTTGAGACATTAAAGAATTACCTAACTACTGCACTGATTCTGAAATACCCTGCTTCAATGAGAAGTTTATATTACACACTGACGCTTCTGGTATAGGCTTTGGTACTATACTAGCACAAAAAGGAGATAACAAATTAGAACATGTTATCACCTATGCTAGCAAAGGTCTGACATGGCCAAAAAGAAATTACTCGGCCACAGAATTGGAATATTATGTGGTAATTTGGGCCATAGAATATTTTTATCACTACCTCGGATATAGGTCCTTTGTGGTAGTAACAGACTATACTGCCATTAAGTGGTTACAAACTACAGTACTAAAAGGACACAGAGCTTACTGGATACTTTGTTTATAGCCCTATTAGTTTACTATAATATATAGAGCTGAGCGAAAACACAAAAATACTAATGCCCTTTTCAGAATAATTAGTAAAAGCAAAAAGAAGATACTACTGCCCTTAATAGTATCGAAAACTGCGAAGTATATATAATAGAAGAAGAGGTAGGAGTCGAACCTGAAGAACCTGTCTCAGAAATGAGCAAAAATGATATAGAATGGACTCCCAATACACCTGAAATAGAGAACCCCGAGTCATCTGGATATGAGATATTGGACAAATTCAAAACCTGGAATACGTTGGAAGAAAGAGAAGAAGAAATCAGTTCCTATTACAATAACATTGAACTCTGCGAATGATCCTTAAGGAATATAGTGATAGGAATGAAGAAATACTAATAAGTAATGAAAATGTGACACAAGAACTCCAGAAACTCAAACCGATGAAATCACGAAAATAGAAATATTCTGCATAGGAGTTGCATCCTACCTTCTAGGAGAGAGCAAAGAAGATGAAGGATATGATATAGAAAGAGGGATAATAAATCAAGAAAGTGATAACGAATGGGATAGTGATTATATGACTGGATTTTATGAAGAAGAAACTAATAAGATAAACAATAACCAAGAAGAAGAACTTATCTAGTATCAGTACGAGGCATAGTACCATCAGCTCTTATAGAACTTGGCACTCGAATTAGGGAGAGAAATAACTTGAGTACGACAAAATGGGTATGAAGAAGAATACTACCTACTAGATGATGAAAATGAAAGAAATGACAGAATTGAAGTTTAACTTGTAGATAAAAATATCAAAGGTCTCGAACTTGAATTGGACCAAGAATGCGAAAGGTTAATATGTGACAACTCCGAAAGTAATGATTATTATGATGAAGACAATTACTTCAATGGGATACCAGACGGTTTAGGTGCTGGCAAAGCCTGGTAGGATATGAACGACTACTGAACAAAAAAAAAAAAAATAAATTAATTATTAATTAAAAAAAAAAAAAAAAAAAAAAAAAAAGAGAGAGAGAAAGAAAAGAAAAGAGAAATAAAGGACGTGACAAAATAAGAATAGTCACGACTTTAATGTGCGAGGAGGTGCATATTATGAGAAAAACTAGAATCAAAGAAGATAAAAACTAGCCAAATGAATAACAATTAATAAAACCTAAGAAAGAAAAAGAATTGACCAAGCCCAAGATACAATTATGTGAAGGGACGAGAACCATGTCTACGAACAAAAAAAATTAGGAGATATACGAAAGATACAAACAAATTAAAGAAATCAAATACCTAAATCCAAAGATAACAATTCAGTCCAGGTTCTGATGTCCTGGCAATAAACAAGAGGAACTCACGAAAATGGATCCACAACAATACTCTATATTAAAAACTTACCTCCAACATCAACAGTACCTATCACATTATACCAAGAACCAACGAAAGCAGTTAGAAGCCCAAAGTCGATTCTTCATGGTTAAAGAAGGGCTGCTCTATAAAAAAGATCAGAAGAAAGAAAACAATTTGCTAAAAATATTGCGAAAAGGAGAAATTAAACTAATATTGGCTCTGGTCCACGATCATCCAATGGGAGCCCATTTCGGAAAAGATATAATGTTCAATAAAATTCGTGACTGTTATTATTAGCTCGAAATATACGAAGATATACGCGAGTATGTCAAGACTTGTATAAATTGTCAAAAAAATGGTGATAGAAGATTAAAGAAAGTACTACATCCCATACCGGTAGTAGCCCTATTTCACAGAATAGGAATAGATATAGTCGGCTCACTACTAATAATGCCCTAATCCAACAGGTATATTGTAGTAGCAACTGACTATATGACTAAATGGTCTGAGGCCTACGCAATCCCAAGAGATAACATTGAAGAAGTGGCGATGTTTATATACAAAGAAATAGTATGCAGATATAGTTACCCTAACTATATACTATCTAATAGAGGCTTCCATTTTAGAAATCGTCTCATAGATGAACTCCTCATAGCCTTACAAACAAGATACCATTATTCAACTCCTTACCACCCCCAGACCAATAGGCTTGTAGAATGCTTCAATAAAACACTATGTAATGCAATATCAAGACTAGTAACGAACATGACAGATTGGGACCTCATAATACAGCCTATACTATTTGCGTATAGAACTACAAAACAAGCTTCCACACAACAAATACCATTTCATTTAGTATACGGGAGAGAAGTAAAATTACCTATACACCCAAGTGAGTCAGGTAATTTGTTGAATGAAACCCTCATTCAACAGATGTATGAGATTGACTCTGATCTACAAAGCACCTGCAGCCAAGCCCTCATACAAATCCAGTCAAATCAAAGAAAACAAAAAGAAAGGCATGGCTTACAGATCAAAGCCATGCCCAATTTCCATATAGGAGATAAGGTCTTGGTCTATGAAGCTAAAATAATGAGCACGCATAGCTATAAACTTAAACAAAAATGGAAAGGCCCATATTATATACACAATGTCCTACTAAATGGCGCATACAAACTTTGCAAAATAAATAGAAGGGTGCTCACAACACCTTTTAATAAAGAAATGCTTAAGCTCTACTACGAAAGAATTATAAATAGAGAATAAAAATTGGCAAAAAAAAAAAAAAAAAAAAAAAACAAAAGTCAAAAAAAAAAAAGAAGGGAGATAATAATATCTACTATTAGAGATCAAATCTGCGAAGACCTATCATCTGACACCCCGCTCTATGTAATACCTGAACCTCGGCTTTACAACAAAAATCAAGACTTGTCAATACAAATCGCTCTATTGTAAAATCAAATTATGGAGTCCAAAAATCTTGGAGATCAAATTAGAATTCTTATTTATGCCTTCTACCTCAGTGAACAATTGAGTATCATAATACTAGCTAAAAGAATAGTCATGCAAAGGGAACGACTTTCTCTTTACTATATAAAAGTCTCCCTTCGAATATATTATTTATTCAGAACTAAGGGGTTGAGTAGATTTACCAAACCAACTACGTCACCCTGCCTAAATTGAAGCAACTCAAGACCTCAGAATTCAACCAGTTAATCTGAAATATTCCTGTAGAACAGGATCTCTTTAGCAGAGAGGAATTGTGAAGGGCTCCGAGGCTCTAATCGACCTTTTTTTTTAATTTAATTTATTTTATTTTTTATATATATATATTATTTTTATTATAATTATTCATTTATTTTGTATTTAGCGATAGTGTTATTTGTTTTTAGTTAGTCTCTTACCTTATTAAGTAGGACTCGAAGAGTGGGATGATTTAAGGTAAAGATCATCATATACGAATTCCCAGAATTACTAGAATTCCTGCTATTCTCGAAATTCCCAAAATAATCAGAATAATTCGAATAACGAGAATAATGGCAATAGCAGAATAATTCGAATAGTGAGAATAATTTGAATAATGAGAATAATTCAAATTATAGGAATAACTAGAATAGCTAGAATAACAATAATTCTTGTTAGTTCTCTATATATAAAGAAAATGTATATATACAAAGCGAAAATTACTTTGAATAAAATCAACTCTTGGAGTTTGAAAAAGAAAAACCTTCTGAGTCTTGAATAGTCTTGAATAGAAGTGTTTGTCTCTAAAATAAATTCCCTTTTAAGTTATTATAAATCGTTTTTCTTAAATCGTTAAATTTTCTATCTTGTCCATGTGATATTTTCCCGCAAAATCAAGTTTCTAGTTAAAGTAAAAGACCCAAATTGTTATATCACATACTCTTTTATATAGTGTCTTTGCATTGATTAATTAATTGATCAATTTCATAATTGTTAAATTGCCTTATCAATAAATTCACATCCCGTGACCCAGATTGTAACCCAAATTTGCAACCCAATTTGTAACCCGATTGCATCCAAATTGAAACCTAATTTGTAACTCAATTGTAATTAAATTATAACCTCTGACAAACGTGACCAAGATAATCTATAGACCCAACCCTAATAATCTAAATACCTATCTAAGTAACCCTAACCTCAGACCAAGTTAAATCCTCGCCTCTTTTAAGCCTTATCCAAACTAGGGTTAACTCTTAGTTGAATTTGTGGATTATCTAGTTTATTTGTATAGATTAGTTTGATTTGAACCTCAGTGTAACCAAACCTTTAGATGAGTTCTAGCCTAGAACCAATTCTCACTTTTTCAATTGGTGGTGACTATGAGATTCGACAAAAGAAATGTCTGCTACCCCCCTAATTAAAAATAAGGAAAAGCAACGTTAATAGCTCAAAGAAACAAAAACAAATCAACCACTACTCCAGAAAAGACCCAAGACTCCCTAGATGAACTAACAGAAGGAACCCAGAACTATTTGCTTAACTTCGAGGAACAATCGACACCCAGTACCCATTCAACTATAAACAACTAAGAGAACATTCAAGACCTCCTAAAGGAGATTGCCAAGGCTTTTCAGAATGTAGTGATAGATGTAGTTTAGGAAGATAGTGAGAAAAATCAACCTAGAGGTTGCGAAACTAATTGGATCCATGTAAGGACTTTCAATAGGACAGATGAAGATGACCTGGTAGAATAGGTTGATGCATTCGAAAGGGCTGTGAATACGAATAATTGGCCTGGGAGAAGAAAGGTACAAATTGCCTTGGGATATCTGGCTGGAATTGCTGCAAGTTGGTATAATGACAACAAAAACACCCTTGACTTTTGGAATAATCCAAACTACCTGAATAGAAGCTTTTCTTCTAAATTAATTAGATACTTTGCAACTCTAGAAAAACATCATAAATAGTACATCGACCTGAATATACTAACACAAAGAGAAAATGAAAAGGTAGATGTCTACGCCTATAACTTCAAAAGGTTATTAAAGCAAGTAGACCCAGAACACAACTTACCAGTAACATACATGGTGAAGATGTTTATGAGAGGACTGAAAGAGAGAATTGCGACCATCATGTCTATTGCTGAACCAAATAACCTCAACGAGGCAATAGCCAGAGCTAGAAAGGTAGAAGCCAGTGAATATTATAAAGAAAGGAAAAATGAAGAAAGACCAACAGGACAAGTATTGGAGGAACTCACTAAAATGATACATCAAATGACAGTCAACATGGCAGCTAACTCTATAAATCGAGAAGAATTTTGACCCCAATGCCAATACCAAAATTATTGCTCCCAGCAATTTAACAATAACAAATGTTACTGGTATGGAGAAAGAGGATACCTATCTCGAAACTGCCTCTTGGAAAGACCCTTAAACCTAAATAGAAACCCTGGCCAAAATAGAAACATAGAAAGAGACCAGGTACAAAACCTACCTCAAGAACCAGATAGAAATCAGGAACAAAATAGGTCTCAGGGTCCAGAAAGGACCCAAAACCAACCCAACCAAGTATTAACCTGACCCAGAAGTATAAATTTATGCGAAATCTATGAAGAAGATAAAGAAAAAGAGATATATGTAGGCAACCAAGTCCCCATCAACCAGATACTACTGAAAGACCCAAAAGAAGAAATGAATCGAACTGGGATGAACAATGAAAAAGTGAGGATTGGTTCTAGGCTAGAACTCATCTGGAGGTTTGGTTACACAGAGGTTCGAATCCAACTAATCTATACAAATAAACTAGATAATCCACAAATCCAACTAAGAGATAACCCTAGTTTGGATAAGGCTTGAAAGAGGCGAAGATTTAACTT